TCTCAGTCTCTTCTCCCAAATAACAAGTGATGGAACATGAGGAAACAGCCTCAAATTGTGCCAGGGGACATTTAGATTGGATGTTAGGAACAATTTCTTCCCTGAAAGGGTTGTCAAGCATTGGAACATGCTGCCCGGGGAGGTGGTGGAGTCTCCATCCCTGGAGGGATTTCAAAGGTGGTAGATGTGGTGTTTAGGGACATGGTTTAGAGGTAGACTTGGTAGTGTTGGGTTTCTGGCTGGACTTGATGATCTTGGAGGTCTTTTCCAGCCTTAATGATTCTATGAAGCAACGTTCAACTATTTATCTCTGAGATCAGTGATGGTGCTGGTTTTCCACATCTACATAAGATCCTTCTGCTGCCAATGGAATAGATGAGCAGCATCAGATCCAATCATCAGGCTGGGATTAATGCCAGGGAGTGGCACGGACATTAGTGTCCTTGTTTCTAAAAGTGCATGTTCAAGACAGGATGGAGGGTTTTGCCCTCCTCAGAGTTGGGATCACACCTCTACGGACCCAGGAGCAAACACTTGGCCTGGGAACTGGAGGTATCCACAGAGAAAATTAACTCCAGTAAACTTGGGCTGTTTGTAAATGTCAGATCTGCTCCGTGCAGCTGTCCGGGAGGCTGGGAAATAAATAATGCTCGTAGGAAATAAAAAGCTTTTGTGTAGCCAAGAAGAGTTTGGGTGGATCACTGGGACTTTGAGACAGGCCAGGTTGTGGACGGCGATGCTTTCACGGGGCTTGTGCTGCTGCTGCTGCTTTCTGCTCCTCCAGGCTGGCAAAATATTCTGCAAGAAAATAACGTTGGTATCGAACATGAGTAAAGAGAGTTTCTTTTGAGCTGGGGAACTCCATGCCTGCGTGGATTCATGTTCTGCTGTGAGCCAGCTCGTTCCCTGTGCTGCTCCAGGAAAGTTAATGAAGTTGGAAAGGAGAGAACAGCACAGAAAAGAAATAATACGGGAAGAAAATCCAGTGTGAGCCAAAAGCCGGGAGATTAGCTGGGGTGCTCGAGAGAACGGGGTCAGGAGTGCATTCTCGTGGAATTTCTGCTTGATCAGGCTGCACTGGTCCAAACCTGCCCTTTTTTTCACTGAAAATGTGTGAATTGAGGTACGGGAGGGCTGGAGCAGGGTGGGTAGCACTCAGGGCTGGCTGGGAGTGGTGGGGATGGGTCACAGCCCCATCCCTGGCAGTGGCACTTCTGCCCCTCGTCTCTAGAAGTCGTGGCTGTGGGAGCTGCAGGAGAAGCTGATGGGTTGCTCACAGAAAACAGAACTTTGGCTTTTCTTGGGAAGTTAATTTTGGTTTGTTTTGTTTTTAATTTGTTTGTTTGAAAGTGAATTTTATGTCTTTGTTGTTTGGATTTTTATGTGGGCATGATTATAATGCTGGTGGAGAAAATGGGTCAGATGGTGGCTCGAGTGTGTTAAACTGTCTGATGGGGTTCAGGTCTCTTGCTTTATAATGACCTTGATGACTTTCTTAAAAAGGAAAAGCAACCCCTTCCCACAAAGCTGTGCTGTGGGGCCCCAGCCGAGTAGAACAGCACTTGGCTTCATCTCTACTCAGCAGGACACTTCAACGTGTACCTGAAATATTTTTGATTCCAAACCACACTTTTCATGTTTTGATATGTTGAATGAACTGGAATAATGGTTTAAATTACTATTTGTTGTGTGGTGTACCCCAATCATGCCACGTCCAGACAAGGAGCAGCTTTGGCTCTGGATGATGAAGGTCCACATGTGGTTGGGGGGCAGTTATGGGGCCAAGAAGCCCAGTGGGGTGATTTTCTTATTTAAGCTGTTGGTTGTATCTGGCAAATGGATCTTTGAATATAATCATAGAATCACAGACTGGTTTGGGTTGGGAGGGACCTTAAAGCTCATCCAGTCCCAACCCCCCTGCCAGCAGCAGGGACACCTTCCACTAGACCAGGTTGCTCAAAGCCTCATCCAACCTGGCCTTCAACACTTCCAGGGAGGAGCAGCCACAGCTTCCTTGGGCAACCTAATCACCTACAGAAACACTGACTTCATGGATGTTGAGGGGATTTGCTGCCATGCCTGTGCCTGTCCCCAGGCTGGATGCCCTACCAGCAGTACAAGGGGTGGGTAGATCTCCTGGCCTTATCTAATTAATGAAATGCTTTGTTTTACCCTTTTTGTCAACAAATTCCATGTGTGGCAGAGTAATTTACAGTGCTGGTAAGCGGCTGCCCTCTTTCCTGAAGGCATCTGGTAACTGGGCCAGCCCTGGTTGTGTTGCTCAATCGGAGCTGAACAAGGAAGGAGTTTCACTTCCCTGGTTCAATACCTCCGGGTGGAGAAAGGCTCGGGAACAGAGAGGTGTTGGGTGGGATCTGGGGGAATGTTGGGGTTCCAGTGCCTCCATGATGAGCTGACAATTGATGTTTCTATTTGACTTCAGCCTTTCTTGCTTTTCTTTAAAACAGCCTCGACCCCTTGAAGTCTCTCCCCCGGAACAGAAATGGGATTGATGTGGAGTCAGATGTCTACAAGATGCTTCAGGATTATGAAAAGCCCATTTCGGAGCCTAAGCAATCCGGATCCTTCCGGTACTTGCAGGGCATGTTGGAGGCTGGTGAGAATGGTAAGGAGGTTGGTACCCATAGTGTGTCCCAGCAAGTTCCTGACACCTCCCTGTGACCAGGGCTGCAGCACAGCACTGCTGTGGGCATTGAACATCATTAGGTCCCTCTGCACCCCATTCCATGGCCCCACACCCACCAAGCTGCTGTTGCAGGCTTCGCCTCCTTCTCCTTCCCTTGCTGAGCTCCAGAAGCTTGAAAAGCATCCAAAGAAACCATCTGCAAGAGCTGATGGGGTGGGTTTGCAAACTCATCTGCTCTGTTGTTTTACCGCACGTCACTTCGGTGCTGAGGCAGCTCAACTCAACAAGGAGGGTCCAAGCACCCTGCGAGGGGGAACACCTGGATGGCAGCTTCCAAATCAGGGTTTGAAATGCAGAGATGTTCCTGGAGCTGTGGTGGATGCTTCAGAGCAAGGTCCAAATTGGAAGTTTTCAAAACTGGCATGGTGGGTACAGACACCTGGGTCAGAAAGTTCCTGGGACCTCCTGGGCATCGTGGGCTTTAAGCACATGTTTAAGATTGACCATGGACTGAAATGCCAAGGAAGCTCAGGGAGTGTTGGAAGCCCAAATGCTGAAGAATGGCTTGTCCATCCAAGAGCTCCTCTGCTTCTCTTCCCAACTGCATCAGCTGATGGAATAAAATCCATTGTCCTTCTTCATGAGCTTTTCCCTTCTATAACCTCAGGCCATCGCAGAGGAACCGCAGATCAATAAATACCCAACAGACCAGCCCGTTGTGAGCCATGAAGAGCCACGCAGTGAATACCAAAAGCTTTTAGGTGTCCCTGGTTGGCAACAATCATGTTTGCATTGTCCAGAGTGTGGATGACAGATGATCTGTAGAGAGAGGGGCTGTGACACTGAAAACTTTGCCCTGATGTTGTTCCCATGCACAACATTTTCATTGCTGCTTCTCTCATCGTTGGACCTTTATGAAAGGAGTCCTGGTGTCCTAGAAAACCTTATCTTCTAGCACAATGGTTTAGTTTACATTGAATTATTTGAGATTAAATGAGTGTTCTAGGAAGAACAATGCATGTCATTCTATTATTGTTTGTTTTCATTTGCCTAATCTCCACAAGGCTTTCATCTTTGTCTCCTTGCCTGATGGAGGATCTACCAAGTGTTGGTGTGATAGAACCTCTTCTTCCTGGAGCTTTTCTGAGATTTTTGCTTAATTCACTAAATAGCACTGCAGCCCAATTAATCTCTTGTCTCTAGATTAATCTGCTTTGCCTTTTGACAAGGTGTATGTGTCGAGTTGGTGCTATCACAGCACATGGAGAGATCATCTGCTGCTGCAGCCAAGAGCTTCTGCCACCATGCATGCTTTGGTAGGATGAGCAGAGGGTCAGTGCAGTGTCCTGCTGTCATCTGCAAACCTGACTGCTGTGAGACTTTTGAGATAGTTGGTCTCACTATTTGTTTTTTTACTTCCTTACAAGTGAATTGCTGGGTCTGTTGTGACAGAATTTCACAGAATCCCTGAATTGGGAAAGGAAAAGGAAAAGCCCTTTAAGCTCACGGAGTCCCATCATGAACCCAACACTGACAAGTCCCCGACTAACCCATGTCCCTCAGCACTATGTCTACACGACTCTTCAATCCCTCCAGGGATGGGGACTCCACCACTGCCCTGGGCAACCCCTTCCAATGCCTCAGAACCCTTTCAGCAAAGAAATTCTTCCTCACATCCCATCTCAACTGCCCTTGGGGCAACTGGAGCCCATTTCCTCTTGTCCTGTCCCTTGGTCCTTGGTTGACAGGCAGAGACTCATCTGACTCCTTATGGAGAAAAATAAAATAAAATAAAAAAGGGAGGGGGGAAGCCCCAGGGGGGACACATTTTCAATCTGTGTCTGTTTAAAATTCTTGGCAGGTGAAAAACTTGACAGACTGAGCAACCCCCGAAACATCAAGTCCCCGGTGTCAAAGCTGGGCGGTGCCATGACCGGGCTGCAGATGCTCCCCGAGTGCACCCGCTGCGGGAACGGGATCGTGTAAGTGTCACATCTCACCGGGGAATCCGGTTCAGTGGGGATGGTAACACAGGGACATGGCTGGGTCAGGTCCTACCAGACATGGGGGTTAGGATTATAGCGGAATATCTCGAATTTAGAGCGGAATATCTCGAATTTAGAGCGGAATAGGTTGAATTTATAGCGGGATAGGTTGAATTTAGAGCGGAATAGGTTGCAGCCCTTTGGTTTTGTGGTTTGGGTTTTTGGTTTTTTCTAACCATATATAAACCTGGAATTAAGGAATACGGTTTGGATTGTCCCTTTTAAGGGAATCTTGCAGCAAAACGAGGATGATTCATGGGATGGTTTATGCCCTGCTTATCATAGTAACTGCCCGGGGACTATGAATAGCGCTGGTGGCACTGGCACCCTTTCACTGCCTTACAGAGGGAGAAATGCTCTGAGGGTCAAGTAGAAGAGTTTTGCAGATGATTTCTGATGGTTTGTTGAAGAGTTGCTCTCCAAGGGATGGATGGATGGATGCTGGTTCTGATTTCAGAGAACATAGGCATTTTTCTGCTTCATCGTATTGTAATTTATGTGCTGTTGTAACTTATGTTCTGGTGTAATTTATGTCCTGCTCCAGCCAGATTTGCTGGCTGAGAGTCTGCTCTGCAAATGCCTGTAACCACTTTCTTGCTGGTGCCATGAGCTGAGAGTCTTTGCTCCAAAGGCCACGGTGCCTGTGGAGCCCCAGGCGTGCTGGCAGCGCTGGGAGGTGCTGGTTCATGATGTTCAGGTCTGGGCTTGAGGCAACCTGGGCCAGGGTCTCACCACCCTCACACCAAAGAATTTCTGACTCACATCTCATCTCCATCTCCCCTCTGCCAGTTTCAAGCCATCACCCCTTGTTCTGTCACTCCCTGCCCTTGGCCAAAGTCCCTCCCCAGCCTTCCTGGAGCCCCTTCAGGTACTGGGAGGCCACTAGAAGATCTCCCCGGAGCCTTCTCTTCTCCAGGCTGAACAGCCCCAACTCTCTCAACCTGTCCTCACAGCAGAGCTGCTCCAGCCCTCGCATCATCCTCGTGGCCTCCTCTGCACTGGCTCCAGTAGCTCCATGTCCTTCTGCTGTTGGTGGCCCCAGCACCTGAGGCAGCACTGCAGGTGGGGTCTCAGGAGAGCGGAGCAGAGGGGCAGAACCCCCTCCCTCGATCTGCTGATGATGGTGGGATGAGAACCCACAATAACACCCTTACACACCTCCACGTGCCGCTTTCCTTCACTGACTCTGTTTGACTTGAGGCATCAGGAAAAGCTCAGATCCTGCTCCGTGTTCCCCCATCTCACCTGAACTCTCCCCATCTCTCACCAGGGGCACGATCGTCAAAGCTCGAGACAAGCTCTACCACCCCGAGTGCTTCATGTGCGACGACTGCGGCCTCAACCTGAAGCAACGAGGGTATTTCTTCATCGAAGAGCAGCTGTACTGCGAGACGCACGCCAAGGAGAGGGTTAAACCCCCCGAGGGATATGACGTGGTGGCTGTTTATCCAAACGCTAAAGTTGAACTTGTCTAAACCCCAGGCTGAGCTCCGGAGAGGTCGGCGGCCCCCGCGCGCCCACCCACGTCCTCCCCGCCGGCCCCGGCTGCGCAGTGTGGCTGTAATCAACCCCGGTTACCAAAGCCCGAGTTCAAATGCCTTTTCCTAGATAAAACCGTTTACACTTGGGATCTCCAGGGGATGGTGTTGAAAGCAAACTGAGCAGGTTTTTCCTTTCTTTTTTGACACTCTGCTTTGTTGGGTTGCTGTGTTGGGTTATTAGTCTGTGCCTTATCCAAGATCTGTGTAAATATGGATTAATTCTCTACTCTGTTTCATATAAATCCAATATTCCTTTTTTCCTTTTTTTTTTTTTTTTGCCCTACCCCATTCTTCTGTAAAAAACAAGGAAGATGTTTTAAAAGCTCAAAGAAAATGAGGCACTTGAACAGAAGAAGCTGACTCCTAGATCCTGACCTTCATCTCCTGCCCTCCGCCTGCCCCGCTGATAAAAAACCCAACCTCTGAGGAGTCTGGGATGAGGTGGTGGGTCGTGGTCCCAGCTCAGCCCCATCCCAGTAGATGTGCTGAGGTCGGGTGGTCTCTTAAAGCAGCATTTGCTGTGAAATTCCCTGGATCAGGGCACTGCAGTTTGAGGTTAACACAGACTGATCTGAGTTCCTGGAGAGATCTACACACCAAGCATGGGACGAGGCTTTTTCCTTCCTCCTTTCACTCCCAATTGAGTTGTTCTGTCATTTAACCACCCAAGCAGCACCTTTAAAGGACACAATAACATAGAACCCACCGTGGATCTTCCCACCTCCCACGCCCCTGCCCCAGGGCTGCCCTTGCTTTGGCTGTTCTGCTCCTTCCCCAGCTTCTGCTGTATTTTTGTAGCCCTTTATTTCTAGATCCCCAAACTGCTGCTCTCTGGGTCTGTCTCACAGTGGGAAGATGCTGATGAAATCCCCCCAGCACTGGGGAAGCAACTGGAGTGGTGCTTCCTCCACCCATGAGCACTGAGTCCAGAGGCAGTGGGTTCTGATTTATATCCGTATCCAAGGGCTGTGCTTTCAGCCAGGTCCATCATCCATTTTATTTGATGGGGAAAAATTCTTGAGGATCTTGAGATGTTGGTTGGTTGGAGAAATGGGTTGTGGGGGGTTTTTTCATGTTAGTGTTGGGAGGAGAGAGAGTTTAGTCACCCAGAGATGGGAGCTGTGTGTTTGGTACCATGAGGTTACTTCTGCTTCGTGACAACCATCCTCCTCCTCCTCCCTTGAGAGGGGGAGGACAGGGGGGAGAAAAAGAAATGTCTGTCCTCACTTCTGTCCCATGAAAAAGGAAAATAAGAGATGGGGGGATGGCCAAGTACTCCTTCCCCTTCTGCTCTCCATAACAGGGGTCTGAAATGTCCTGTCCTACCCCCTCATTGCTGACCCTCAAACAGCAGAACCCTGCTGGGCTGTAGGAGGGGGGACCAGGGGGGTGAGGACAGGCTCGCTGGGGGTCAGCAGCAGCAATGGAGAGGGATGTTGGGTTAAGTAGCAAAATCTCCATAGCTCTGGTTTGAAGAGTCACTTGCTATTTGATTCAGGGGTATCTGAGAAAGTCAGAAGTAATGTGAGTGAAGTGCCTCCACCAGATATTTAATCTGAAAGGTTTTATTTGGAACGTGTTCATATATGGCAATTGCTGCTTGTATTGTGCCTAAAAATATTTATAAAGACAAAGCTTCTGAGGATCCACATATGGCATGAAGGATCTCTGTGGGTCTGTGGAACTAATTAGTCTAATTAGTGCTCGTATTCAAGTAATTAACATGCTTCTGAGTCCCCAGTTAGGGATTTTTCCATTCCCCTTGAATCCATACATATGTCAGATGTCTCTTTGCTGTAACCACTGTGATCCCAGCCCCTCACCCTGGGCACTGGGAGGTTTCATCTCCCAGCTGAGGGCACAGGGTGATCCCCAGGGGGGGGCACAAGGGGTCTGGGCAGCCCTGGGGTCCCTCAGAGACCCCTCACTGTCCCCATGGCAGCCACCACCCAACCTGCCCAAGCCCAGGAGCCTCCTCCAGGCTCCTCACTGCTTTGGAAAAAAAGATCAAACGCGATGGAGGACACAGTTTATTAATTACATGAGGTGGGACCGGGGCCAAAGTGATTGAAGTTCTAATTGTTTAACTTTTTCCATGTATCATCATTAAAATTTCCTACTTAGCCAGGCATTATTTCCACCACCACCACCACCACCACCCTCCCTTCTGCTGCTGCTGCTTTTGTTTGCAGTTGTTTAACTTTGCTTTTGTTACTGGCTGGCTGCCCCAGGGACCTGAAAAAAATCTCAGTTGGTCCATTTGTGTTGGGATAAAAATCCTTGTGCCATAGGAGGGGAGGCAGAAAAAGGATCCTGGGGAATTTCCTCTCCTCCCTTTCGCATGTGTCAAAGAGGCCTTTTTAATTACTTTAGGGGGAAAAAAAAAAAAATCTTACCCATCTCTATAATAAAACACAGAAAACTGCTCCTGCCTGGAAGGGAACTTATCTGCAGCTTTATTTTTTCACCTCTCTCTTTCTCCCTGGGAAAGCACAGACTGGCAGGAGTCACCCACCCACCCACC